GAGAGAGAGAGAGAGAGAGAGAGAGAGAGAGAGAGAGAGAGAGAGAGAGAGAGAGAGAGAGAGAGAGAGAGAGAGAGAGAGAGAGAGAGAGAGAGAGAGAGAGAGAGAGAGAGAGAGAGAGAGAGAGAGAGAGAGAGAGAGAGAGAGAGAGAGAGAGAGAGAGAGAGAGAGAGAGAGAGAGAGAGAGAGAGAGAGAGAGAGAGAGAGAGAGAGAGAGAGAGAGAGAGAGAGAGAGAGAGAGAGAGAGAGAGAGAGAGAGAGAGAGAGAGAGAGAGAGAGAGAGAGAGAGAGAGAGAGAGAGAGAGAGAGAGAGAGAGAGAGAGAGAGAGAGAGAGAGAGAGAGAGAGAGAGAGAGAGAGAGAGAGAGAGAGAGAGAGAGAGAGAGAGAGAGAGAGAGAGAGAGAGAGAGAGAGAGAGAGAGAGAGAGAGAGAGAGAGAGAGAGAGAGAGAGAGAGAGAGAGAGAGAGAGAGAGAGAGAGAGAGAGAGAGAGAGAGAGAGAGAGAGAGAGAGAGAGAGAGAGAGAGAGAGAGAGAGAGAGAGAGAGAGAGAGAGAGAGAGAGAGAGAGAGAGAGAGAGAGAGAGAGAGAGAGAGAGAGAGAGAGAGAGAGAGAGAGAGAGAGAGAGAGAGAGAGAGAGAGAGAGAGAGAGAGAGAGAGAGAGAGAGAGAGAGAGAGAGAGAGAGAGAGAGAGAGAGAGAGAGAGAGAGAGAGAGAGAGAGAGAGAGAGAGAGAGAGAGAGAGAGAGAGAGAGAGAGAGAGAGAGAGAGAGAGAGAGAGAGAGAGAGAGAGAGAGAGAGAGAGAGAGAGAGAGAGAGAGAGAGAGAGAGAGAGAGAGAGAGAGAGAGAGAGAGAGAGAGAGAGAGAGAGAGAGAGAGAGAGAGAGAGAGAGAGAGAGAGAGAGAGAGAGAGAGAGAGAGAGAGAGAGAGAGAGAGAGAGAGAGAGAGAGAGAGAGAGAGAGAGAGAGAGAGAGAGAGAGAGAGAGAGAGAGAGAGAGAGAGAGAGAGAGAGAGAGAGAGAGAGAGAGAGAGAGAGAGAGAGAGAGAGAGAGAGAGAGAGAGAGAGAGAGAGAGAGAGAGAGAGAGAGAGAGAGAGAGAGAGAGAGAGAGAGAGAGAGAGAGAGAGAGAGAGAGAGAGAGAGAGAGAGAGAGAGAGAGAGAGAGAGAGAGAGAGAGAGAGAGAGAGAGAGAGAGAGAGAGAGAGAGAGAGAGAGAGAGAGAGAGAGAGAGAGAGAGAGAGAGAGAGAGAGAGAGAGAGAGAGAGAGAGAGAGAGAGAGAGAGAGAGAGAGAGAGAGAGAGAGAGAGAGAGAGAGAGAGAGAGAGAGAGAGAGAGAGAGAGAGAGAGAGAGAGAGAGAGAGAGAGAGAGAGAGAGAGAGAGAGAGAGAGAGAGAGAGAGAGAGAGAGAGAGAGAGAGAGAGAGAGAGAGAGAGAGAGAGAGAGAGAGAGAGAGAGAGAGAGAGAGAGAGAGAGAGAGAGAGAGAGAGAGAGAGAGAGAGAGAGAGAGAGAGAGAGAGAGAGAGAGAGAGAGAGAGAGAGAGAGAGAGAGAGAGAGAGAGAGAGAGAGAGAGAGAGAGAGAGAGAGAGAGAGAGAGAGAGAGAGAGAGAGAGAGAGAGAGAGAGAGAGAGAGAGAGAGAGAGAGAGAGAGAGAGAGAGAGAGAGAGAGAGAGAGAGAGAGAGAGAGAGAGAGAGAGAGAGAGAGAGAGAGAGAGAGAGAGAGAGAGAGAGAGAGAGAGAGAGAGAGAGAGAGAGAGAGAGAGAGAGAGAGAGAGAGAGAGAGAGAGAGAGAGAGAGAGAGAGAGAGAGAGAGAGAGAGAGAGAGAGAGAGAGAGAGAGAGAGAGAGAGAGAGAGAGAGAGAGAGAGAGAGAGAGAGAGAGAGAGAGAGAGAGAGAGAGAGAGAGAGAGAGAGAGAGAGAGAGAGAGAGAGAGAGAGAGAGAGAGAGAGAGAGAGAGAGAGAGAGAGAGAGAGAGAGAGAGAGAGAGAGAGAGAGAGAGAGAGAGAGAGAGAGAGAGAGAGAGAGAGAGAGAGAGAGAGAGAGAGAGAGAGAGAGAGAGAGAGAGAGAGAGAGAGAGAGAGAGAGAGAGAGAGAGAGAGAGAGAGAGAGAGAGAGAGAGAGAGAGAGAGAGAGAGAGAGAGAGAGAGAGAGAGAGAGAGAGAGAGAGAGAGAGAGAGAGAGAGAGAGAGAGAGAGAGAGAGAGAGAGAGAGAGAGAGAGAGAGAGAGAGAGAGAGAGAGAGAGAGAGAGAGAGAGAGAGAGAGAGAGAGAGAGAGAGAGAGAGAGAGAGAGAGAGAGAGAGAGAGAGAGAGAGAGAGAGAGAGAGAGAGAGAGAGAGAGAGAGAGAGAGAGAGAGAGAGAGAGAGAGAGAGAGAGAGAGAGAGAGAGAGAGAGAGAGAGAGAGAGAGAGAGAGAGAGAGAGAGAGAGAGAGAGAGAGAGAGAGAGAGAGAGAGAGAGAGAGAGAGAGAGAGAGAGAGAGAGAGAGAGAGAGAGAGAGAGAGAGAGAGAGAGAGAGAGAGAGAGAGTGTGTGTGTGTGTGTGAGTGAGTGTGTGAGTGTGAGAGAGAGAGAGAGTGTGAGAGTGTGAGAGAGAGTGTGTGTGTGTGTGTGTGAGAGAGAGAGAGAGAGTGTGTGTGATTGTGTGTGAGTGTGAGAGAGAGAGAGAGAGAGAGTGTGTGTGTGTGTGTGAGTGAGTGTGTGAGTGTGAGAGAGAGAGAGAGAGAGAGTGTGTGTGTGTGTGTGAGTGAGTGTGTGAGTGTGAGAGAGAGAGAGAGAGAGAGTGTGTGTGTGTGTGTGAGTGAGTGTGTGAGTGTGAGAGAGAGAGAGAGAGAGAGTGTGTGTGTGTGTGTGAGTGAGTGTGTGAGTGTGAGAGAGAGAGAGAGAGAGAGTGTGTGTGTGTGTGTGAGTGAGTGTGTGAGTGTGAGAGAGAGAGAGAGAGAGAGTGTGTGTGTGTGTGTGAGTGAGTGTGTGAGTGTGAGAGAGAGAGAGAGAGAGAGTGTGTGTGTGTGTGTGAGTGAGTGTGTGAGTGTGAGAGAGAGAGAGAGAGAGAGTGTGTGTGTGTGTGTGAGTGAGTGTGTGAGTGTGAGAGAGAGAGAGAGAGAGAGTGTGTGTGTGTGTGTGAGTGAGTGTGTGAGTGTGAGAGAGAGAGAGAGAGAGAGTGTGTGTGTGTGTGTGAGTGAGTGTGTGAGTGTGAGAGAGAGAGAGAGAGAGAGTGTGTGTGTGTGTGTGAGTGAGTGTGTGAGTGTGAGAGAGAGAGAGAGAGAGAGTGTGTGTGTGTGTGTGAGTGAGTGTGTGAGTGTGAGAGAGAGAGAGAGAGAGAGTGTGTGTGTGTGTGTGAGTGAGTGTGTGAGTGTGAGAGAGAGAGAGAGAGAGAGTGTGTGTGTGTGTGTGAGTGAGTGTGTGAGTGTGAGAGAGAGAGAGAGAGAGAGTGTGTGTGTGTGTGTGAGTGAGTGTGTGAGTGTGAGAGAGAGAGAGAGAGAGAGTGTGTGTGTGTGTGTGAGTGAGTGTGTGAGTGTGAGAGAGAGAGAGAGAGAGAGTGTGTGTGTGTGTGTGAGTGAGTGTGTGAGTGTGAGAGAGAGAGAGAGAGAGAGTGTGTGTGTGTGTGTGAGTGAGTGTGTGAGTGTGAGAGAGAGAGAGAGAGAGAGTGTGTGTGTGTGTGTGAGTGAGTGTGTGAGTGTGAGAGAGAGAGAGAGAGAGAGTGTGTGTGTGTGTGTGAGTGAGTGTGTGAGTGTGAGAGAGAGAGAGAGAGAGAGTGTGTGTGTGTGTGTGTGAGAGAGAGAGAGAGAGTGTGTGTGATTGTGTGTGAGTGTGAGAGAGAGAGAGAGTGTGTGTGTGTGTGTGCAGCTGTTTCCTGTGAATCACTATGTTGTGTGTTTATTTTCATATAATATATTTATTCTCATATATAATCAGGCTTATATTGTCCGCCCGTGTGACAGACGATCGGTATATAAGGTTATTGTTCTCATAGATTATCAGATGTGTAATGTTATTATTATCAGCTCATCAGACATTTAAATGTAATGTTATTCTGTTATTATCAGACATGTGTTGCTGTGACTCTTATTAGATCATCAGACATGTAGGCTAATATTCAGAAGTATGAGATCTGTAAGTCAAAAGTAGTGATATTATGAAATATTATTAGAATGTAAAACAGCTGTTTTCTATGTGAATCTCTGTTAAACTGTAATGTATTTCTGTGATGCGCAGCTGTATTTTCAGCATCATTACTCCAGTCTTCAGTGTCACATGATCTTCAGAAATCATTCTAATATGCTGATTTGCTGCTCAAGAAACATTTCTGATTATTATCAATGTTGAACACAGTCGTACTGCACAATATTTTTGTGGAAACTGATACATGTTATTTTTCAGGATTCACAGATGAACAGAAAGTTCAAAAGAACAGCATTTATTTGAAGCAGAAGTCTTGTGTCACAGTATAGATGTCACCTGTGATGAGTTTGGTGTGTTTCTGATGAGTGCAGGACAGGTGTGTGTGAGTCTCTGTCTGGAGGATATGAGCAGGTGTGATGGAAGCAAGCGTGTGTTTGGCTCCAGATGAGGACTCTCTGATTGAAGGAGTGAGCGACCCTGTGCTTCTGGTGCTGGGGCTCAGCGTCACCTTTCTGCTGGGTCTGGCAACACTGCTCTGCAGGTGAGACCCTGACCTCTGACCTCACGCTCCATCGACACCAACGTTTATTCAGACACCTTCAACGTTTCTCACATTATCACAGTTTATTCGCTAGAAAATGGTAATATAGTGTCCTGCATCAGTAGTGAAACATATGAAGCATGCTCTCTGGAGTGTGATGGAGTGTACTGACGCAGTGCACTGTGTTCTGGTCTCAGGAATGAGCAGAGGATTCACCCGGAGCATCAGGAGCAGGTGCGTGTGGTCCGAGAGCAGCTGCAGGTTTGTGAAACATGCCTTATTTAGGAGTCCGGAATAGAACATGTATTAATATGAACGTTTCGCAGAGCTTAAGTATAAGCATTAAGATGATGGTTTTGAGGGAAGCTGCATTGAAACACGTGCTCCTGTGTTGATCAGCTGTCAGAGCCCAGGCCTCAGTATTACTCGGACATGTCGTGTCCCGTGTGTCTGCAGCAGGCTCTTCTGCCCGTGGAGACTAACTGCGGTCATCTGTTCTGCGGTGAGACTGAGCTCAGGTCCAGTTAAACATGAGCGTATCTGCTGATCTGTAATCACGTCTCTCTGTGTTTAACCGCAGGGCCGTGCATCGTGGCGTACTGGCGCTACGGGACGTGGCTGGGCTCCATCAGCTGCCCCATCTGCAGACAAACGGTGAAAATAAACACAAATCTGTCCTGTTCTGAAGCGCGCCGTGTCCACTGAGCGTTACTCACACTTCTGCACTCATCAGAAATAACCACACAACCAGTGGCCGGTTACCAGTGCTTATTTAGATTGAGTTTTAGTCATATGAATTGTTTTAGCTTTAGTCTAGTTTTAGTCGAGTAAATATCATACAATTTTAGTCGACTAAATCTAAAGGGTTTAGTTAAATTGTAATGCATCATTGTTTTTTTATTTCTGTTTTGGTTATTTTAGTACATGAGGTTAAGCTAAAGCTTGTGAACTAAATTTAAATAAGTTTTTTTTTATATGAATTTTATACATTTACTTTCTTTTTTATAGATTTTTAATTTCAGTTATTTCAGTTAATGAAGAATATTGTTAAGGTTATAGTTGTAACTATTAAACCTGATACTAGTAGCGTGTATTGAGTGTTTATTGTCCTGCGGTGAGATCAGGACTGGATATCTTCTTCCCAAATCGTCCTTCCCTTACATTTTCGTCTCGTTTTTATTCATTGACGAAAATGAGAGTATATGTTCATTTTAGTTTTTGTCATTACAAACTGGTTTTTATTTAGTTATCGTCTCGTTTTCGTCGGTGAGACAAATAATGATGAGCACTGGGTTAGTGAGTGTGTATGTGTTTTATTGGTTTGTCAGGTGACCCTGCTGTTCCCGCTCTTCCGTGACACGGGGGGGGCTCAGGTCGAACCCGCGCTGATCCTCAGAGACATCCACGACTACAACCGCCGCTTCTCCGGACAGCCGCGCTCCGTGAGACGCTTGCATCATAAACACATCACTAGCATGACAAATTAATACGTGTCCCGTTTACTGTCATTACTCCCCCTCGAGTCCTAGTTTCTCTCTTCAGAGGAGGATATTTTGAAGAACGCTGGTAACCAGATATTTTCCAGTCCGCATTGACTTCCAGTGTTTTCCCATACTGGGGATTATTACAGTTAATGGCACAATGAATGTTTGAAAATGTAAACTGATATTTCCTCCTGACACACTCCAGCAAAAGATAGAAACAACTGACTTAAAACCATTTCTAGCTGCTGGAAATACTAGCGTTCTGATTATTTTGGCCAGCAGTGTGTGTAATTGTTAGTGCACTGAAGTACTCTTTATTTTCCGCTGGGTTAGAAGAGCTCTCGGCTGACTGTGTTTGTGTCTGTGTGTGTCTGTGATCACACAGACACACACACACACACACCTCACACACCTCACACAGACACACACACACCTCACACAGACACACACACACACACACCTCACACACCTCACACAGACACACACACACCTCACACAGACACACACACACCTCACACAGACACACACACACCTCACACAGACACACACACACCTCACACAGACACACACACACCTCACACAGACACACACACACCTCACACAGACACACACACACCTCACACAGACACACACACACACACACACACACACACTCACCAGTGTCTTCAGTCTGTCATTTTCTCTTGACGAAGCTCAGATGATGTCATTCAAACAGGGCAGATTTCTGCATTAAAGAAAGAGATTCTAGAAAATGAAATTTAGTTCATCTGTGTTTTTGATGGATTTTCTGAAGTGTTGCATTTGTTACATTAAGAGTTACAGAAGCAGATAAACAGCTGGAGAACAGCAGAATAACACATTAAATAAAGCACTAAAAAGGCCTGCATGCTTGGTAAAATGACTAGAATGCATTTTGGGAGTATCGGAAGAACTGAAGCAGAACTTAGTAAAACATTTGGCTTGATTTCCACTGTGTTTCAGAGCTCATTTCCCCCTTAATGTTTAATTATGAAAAATCCCTAATCACTTTCAGTGTTTTTGAGCTTCTCTGAATCTGTTCCTGAAGCAGAAGAAGAGCCGGGGAACAGCATCAACATAAACAGTCCCTTCATTTATCCTTCTCATGTTCAGCCCCAGAAAACTGTTGATGATTCAGCGTGCTGCGTGTTCTTTGCCTTTATTGAGCAGACGGGAGCGGGACGTTAGTGCAGTGCGACAGGTCTGAGATCAGATGCAGGTCAGTGTAGATTTACTGAAAGAAGCGCATTATAATTCCTCACAGCTAGTGATGATCTGTGTAACACTTTATTTTAAGGTGTCCTTGTTACACGTTACATGTACTTACTATTATAATAACACTTAATAATGCATGTAATTCATTAATATTACTCAGTACTTACATGTATAATTACTGTAACAAGAACATCTTAAAATAAAGTGTAACCTAAATGTGTTGTAGAAGGGACACTATCTGCAGGTGGATCAGCACTAAACAGTGGGAATGTGTCCAGGGCAGATGTGTGAGTGATTACACACCCCAACAATCCTCTTATGCCAGTATAATCATATAATCAGCCGCTGCCATGTTTCGCTGTCACAGCACTAGCACTTGATTTTATTCTTATTTTCTCGCAGAAGTAGGCTTTCAGATCAACCGCAGACGTTCCTGCTGCAAACCCTGAGTGAGGAGCTGGATGAGAGCAGACTGATCTCGCTGTGAGCAGCAGGGGGCAGCAGACGCTCGAGAGCCTCACTGTGCAGCACATACGTGTGTGAAGAACATGAAGAACATGAAGAACATGATCACTGACACTAATATCAAGAGCTCCAGGATTTCACCGGGGGAAATAAGAGGCCTACAACCCCCCTAATCACCTAAAACATTTAGCTTCATTTCTTTTAAGCCTTTATTTAACCAGGAAAGAACCTCACTGAGATTAAACATCTCTTTTACAGCAGTGTCCAACAGTGCAGCATAACAATAAAATAGCAATAAAAGTACAGCATTAGAAGCATTTGCAAATCATTAAATAGTTTTCTATTGTGTTTTAAAAAGTTTAAAAAGTGTTTTAAAATGACTGAAAGACATTTGTTTGAAGAGAGAGATTATAATAAGACCGGGAACGCAATGAATAGTTACCAACTACTTTTTGTTGAATCAAACATCACTGCAAAAAAATGCTTTTCTTCAAAAAAATTTTTATTTTTTTGTTTTGTTTCCAGCCTAAATATAAAAAAAATGCTTAAATCAAGAAGGATTTTCTAGGCAACTAAAAATTATTGTTTTCAGAAAAAAACAAGTCAATATTAAGTGAGTTTTTGCTTGAAACAAGTAACATAAGTAAAATCTAAGTAAGAGAAGCATTTTTTGCAGTGGAAAAACAACAACAACAGCATTTCTTTGTAAATCAATAAGTGCCAAAGCATTTTCCTTCGAACAGCAAGAGAAGACCAGGCTACTCTTATATAAGCTGGGCCAGTGTGTCCTGTGATTGCTCAGCTGGGCCAGTGTGTGTTGTGATTGGTCAGCTGGGCCAGTGTGTCCTGTGATTGGTCAGCTGGGCCAGCGTGCGCTGTGATTGGTCTGGTACCGAACGACGAGACGTTTTTCGACACTCGATGGTATCGAGGCAATTCGGTCGCTGCCTAAAAAGTATCGAACTCGATACCCAGCCCTAGTGATATCACAAATCCCAGAAAATATGCATTGTAGTCCAAACGAGTCGTTTTTGAAAAGTGATTTCTATTAAATAAAATATCTCCTTTTGAAGTGGACTTTGAGCTTTGTAAATTTGCAGATCTTTTTTATGCTCAAACAGCAACATTACAGACTAACTAAAGTTGAAAAAGTGAAAAAGCATAATAGGACCCCTTTAAGTAATTACATGTATAAATAATGCTGTGTTGGCTGGAGCCAGCTGAATTAAAAAACAAAGTTATTATTGTGTTTTATTGCTGGTTTGAGTCAGACAGGTCTTGAGATTCTGTGGTTCCACAGGTGAACTTTAACTGCTCTTCTGAGAAATCCAGCAGCTCGTGGCATTCTGGGAAATGAAGTGTTCGTCAGCATGTAAATATAAACTGCTCTGTCTGTTTGTCTGTAAGGCCAAGAAAAGAACCACAAAACTTTCTTTAAATGTTATAACAAGGCTATCATTCAAAGTTAATATATCTATATATACAGTATATATAAATTATTTTTATTCTACTTCATTTGAATTTCAATTCTAGTTCCTGTCTGCCTCAGTTTAAATTCAGGACTTCAAGACTAGTCATAAAAAAAGTTCAAGACTGGTCATAACTTCTTAAAGTCAGTTACAAAACAGTAGATTAATCTAATTCGAATCTGAAAAGTAAGACTGAGCACACCTTGGCTAATCATTCTTAACAGAGTGCCTGTGTTTATGCAGCTGGCCTCTGAACTGCAATTTGAGAAGCATTGTGAATTAATTTCCGAGTGTGTAATGTACCTGAGAAACAAGAGCGCAGCATCTTTACAGCTCTGTCTTTGAGCTTCTGTTTTTGCAGAAGCTCTATAGCCTTGCTGCTGAGAAGTAATAATGTTCAAAGCGGATGTCATAAATGTCAGTAGACCGGGAAGATTTTGAAACGAGCGGATTAATTTTTAAATGCGTATACCTTCACGCTGTGTTAATACAAACAGAAGATAGAAGACAACGAGTGTAATGAGTGTTTGTGATGTGTGTGTGTGTGTGTGTATGTGTGTGTGTTATTCATGTGTAATAAGTGTTTGTAATGTGTGTGTGTGTGTGTGTCTGTGTGTGTGTCTCTGTGTGAGTGTGTGCGCGTTTTTGTGACAAATGAGGACATAAATTTGTATAATGACAAGGGTCATAGGTATT